TTTACTTAATAATTAAATAATTGCTATAATATAACTATTTTTATTTATTTTTATTTTTCAGTGTACATTTAAGAACATGGTGCAAAAATTAACTCTAATAATACCTATACCTAATGGCTAATTGAATGTAACATAATGACAATTTTAAATTAGTAATTATATAATTTAAATATAAATTAATTAAATAAATAACAAATATTATGAATAATATTAATTTGGTGAACTGACTAGTAGAAAAGTTAAATAAAAAAAAAGTATTTGAAAAGTATTTAAATATATTCGAAGTATTTGTATTTGCATCTTACTTATGTATCAATACTTTTTATTGAAAATATTTGAAATGTATTTGAAATACTTTCTGAATGAATGTATTTGTATCTGTATTTAATACAATTTTAAAAGCATCTTTTACAAGACTCGTAGCCATTTTTAGATATTACATGTACAGCATTATATCTTTCATACTGTGTAGGTTCTAAAATTACAAATGGTTAGGAAATTCAKACTTGGCAGCAAAAACAAGAGTTATTGTAGGTGTACTTCAGTAAAAATGTAATATTATAGTATATTATAGTAGTATGGTCACTATAATATATTTGGTACCTTATATCGGTGAGACGGTGACATACCACTAATTTATATTCAAAGTATCATCCGTTTTAAATTAATTATGTATGAATGGATGCACACGCGATACAAATAGTATAACTGCTACAGTGGTATCTGAGTAATACATAATAAGATGTCAAGCAGTGGTCTCGAATCTCGATTGCTGGTTAGCAATGTCGGGCAAAAACCTCAATATATCTACAATAATAGCAGTTAGCATTAGTCATTATGATTTAAGCTTATAAAGTTGTGAAAGTAAAAGTTCAAAAACTTGATACATTTTTAAACACTCTTGAAAATTGTCGGTACTAAAGCTTATATAAGTTCACCTAGATATAATAATATAATATCAATGTAAAGATAAATATTATTTACCCAGCTATAAAAAAACAAGTTAATAAAGTTAATAATAATTAATATTGTTTAGCTTTATTTGTATTAGCTAAAAATAAATTTTAAATGTCTATTATATTATAATACTGACTCGTATAAAAGGTAGGTACCTACCTAGGTACCTATTGGAAAATATCCTATACAATTCATGAATTTTAATAATTTACAAGAGAGGTTAAACATAATCCATAATATAAAATTGAAATCATGAGCTGATTGTTGAAACACTGTCATTCGCAAATGCTTAATGTGGTAAAAATATTTKAAAAGCGATTATTACCTGGATTACAAAATAAGTTATTAAGTAAATACCAAAAACATAATTTTAGGTATGGATTAATGAATAGTCGATTAAATCATAATATTATATAGTTACATATTATATAATCATCTAACTACCTATCTGGTTATCTGTTTATTTTATGGGAATAGCTATAGTAGCTACGCGTCGTTATTAGCGTAAAATATTATACGAACATAATATAAGTAATTAGTATCTAATATATATACATACACGTAAACGCATAACAGTAGTAGCTCAAGTGCAGAGTTGTAGGTAAGGCTAACTCAAAGTTCAAAAAAAGCATATTTTTTATGATTTGATCATATTAAATAATAATAATAATAATATATATATATATATATATATAATAATATTAAAATAAAAAATGTGTACACATACACCGTGCTGGTGGTCACACTGTGAACCCGTTCATCACCGCGCCCGCCGCTCGAGCGTAGTGGTAGACGGTATGTACTATGTAGTGTTTTGAGCCTTAATGCCGGCAGTCCGTGTTTTGGTGTTCGCCGWGTTTGGCGTGCGTGTGTCGCGTTTGTTACGGTGTTTCATTTGTGTGGTGCATATTATTGTTTTTCTTCATAATATAATTAATTTATATTGTGTGTTTTCCAACTTTAAGAACACTGTCGGATTATTGGTTTGTGTCGAAAAATAAACTTGTGATCAAAGTTTGCCAGCTCGGCTCGAGTGGCGTGCAGAGTCCTTAAGATGGGGTCTTGCGGAAAGCTTCTGCTGGCCCTTATCTTTACGTTCGCCACAAAGGGTGAGTTTTATTATGTTACTCGTAATAGTATTTATGTAAGACAATATGTCTCGACTACAGTTAGCGAACGAGAGTCAACAGACAATTCTACTGTATGTAGTAAGTTTATTACCGAAATACTTTGATCCTCGAAACTTAAATGTTGTGCTGTAAAGAACTCTGTACTACCGTAGTGTTTCGTAAATATAKGTAGGTACTTACATATTTTTGAAAAATCAATAATAGGTACTTATAATAGGAACTTATAATAGTGGACGTTTATGTAATACAAAAATCTTAACTATCATCTAGCGTTGGTAAACTATTAAAATAAAATTGTTTGATTTAATTTTTTACGCCCGTGTCGACAGGAAGTCCCTTTTGTGCGCACAATGAACGGGGGTGAAGGAATGAGTCATGGACGTCGTCGAAATGGGGGCGTTCTGTTCTGATGCACATCATTGTCGTGTAATAGGCATT